CAGAACAAACTGGAGGGCTCTAAGGCTACAGGAACAGACCTCAGAAACGGGTAGGGAGACGGAGCGAGAGCAGAGGCCGGAGGCAGGCTTGAGCAAATCAGCTGGCCGACCGACTCAGCAGGGACAGTCTTGGAACTCACTGGCGTGGGATAAATCAGATGAGATGAGATGATGTGGGGTAAGAAGGACATCTTGGTGCCTATCTACCACCAGAAACAAAAATCAATTTGATATGTAGCATAGACCTAAGTATGACAGATAAAGCCATGAAGTGTTTACAAGCCAAGGAAGAGTATCTTCATGACCTTGAGGTTGGCAGAAATCTTAGAGCACAGAAAGTATTAACCAGAACAAAAAAGATCAATACATAGGATGTCACTAATATTAACAACTGTTAATCAAAAGACGTCATTAGGAGAGTGCGAAGGTAAACTCAAGAGTGGCAGAAGATGTTTATGGTACACCTATCACCCAAGACTTGTATCCTGAATACACACGGAAGTGCTGCATATGAACAAGGACAGCCTAATTACACAATGTGCAAAAGATCTGAATACACCTTTCACAGAAGACGATATACAGATGGCCACAAAGCTAATGAACTGATGTTCAGCATCATTAGTCATTAGGGAAATACAAATTAAAACCACAATGAGATACCATGTCACACCTGTTGGAGTGACTAGAGTTACACATGCTCACTATATGATGTGTTTGCAGAGCACCTGGAACTCACACACACTGCCTGGTCGGGTAGGCAAATTGGCACAGCCCTTCTGGAAAATGCATTCCTTATGACCCAGAGGTCCTACCTCAGTATGTATGCCTGTGCTGCTTTTGTCCTGTGTCAGATGTGTGTACAACTTTGCGGTGAAGGGCACCTGCTTGTTCCGTAGGCCACCTGCATCATCAGTATTGGGATCCAGTGAGATCGATGCTGTGCGGGGTTCTGCTCCCTCACAAGCAGCTGTGTCTCCTTTTCAGAGGCCAGCCCTGCTGGCCTGAGGCCCAAGAGCAGGCCTAACCCTGTCTGTACTAATTATCCCTTCACCTCTAGTGGTTCTGCTGCTCAGACGGAACCGTAAATGAGACAATATCCGAGAGAAATGAGGACACACATCACCGAGTACAATGTTCATGGCAACTGCGTGCATACCAGCCCCAAACTGGAAACGACCCAGACGTTCACCAAAGGGCGGAGGGATACTGCACAGGATGAAAACCGACGCGCTACTGCTGCTCGCCACGATATAGCTGCCTCTCAGAACAGTGTGCCCTGCGAAAGAAGCTGGACACAGGAGACCCAGAGCCGTGTGATTCCATTTACGTGATGTTCAAGAACATGCAGAACCGATCTATGTGTGTGGTTCTCTTGCATGAGGGACTTTTCCAGGGCGGCAGAAGCACCCTTGTGCTGGTTCGAAGCATGTCCACGAATTCCTTCGCACCCCTCCCATCAAAGGCTGGCCTGTGAACCTTTCCTTCCTGAGTGGCTTCTAAGAGAATACAGCAGAAGCCAGGCCATCAAAGGTGACAGTCTCCACTAGGCTCTCTCTCAAGATGTTCACCTTTAGAAGCCAGCCTCTACGCTGGGAAGAAGCCACAGACCCACAAGGCCAGCTGATTTGCTCAAGCCTGCCTCCGGCCTCTGCTCTCGCTCCGTCTCCCTACCCGTTTCTGAGGTCTGTTCCTGTAGCCTTAGGGCCCTCCAGTTTGTTCTGCAGGATTGTCTTCCTTATTGTAGGCCCTTTGCATTTCCATATAAATTCCACAGACCCACCTAAACCCCAATTTAGGTGTCTGAGCCCTGCCCACATTGCAGGTTCATAGGCAAAATAAATGTTATCTTCATTTCAGCCCCTAAATTTTGGAGTGTTTTGGTACCCAGTGATAGATACCTGGAGCAGGCATCCCTTGGTCTAAGCAGTGACTGTCACATGGCTGTGTACATGCATAAAGTCACTGAGCTCTACACGCAGTTTGCATACTTTCTTGCCTTTAAGTCATGCCCCCTAACAAAGTCTATTTAAGAAGTGTAATTTCTGAGGGTCTGGCTTGGACAACTAACTGGGTAGAAAGTGGTGGTAGTGCGACACATTGAGATGGGAGGCTTGTGGTGGCTGGGAATTCAAAGTTCCTTTTTGTCATTTATGGCACCTGTGAGACATCAAAGAGGACATGTCGGGTAGCTGACGGAAGCATGGGTGAAAAACTCAGAGGAGAGCTCAATTGTTGGAGACGTCAATCGGGAATGATCAATAGTTAGCTGCTCTTTAGAGCCGTAAGGATGAATGAGGCCGCCACAGGACTGAATGGAGATGCCAGGGCGCACCCTGAGGGACGCATACCTGGTACAAGTTGGGTAGGAGACACAGGGCAGTACTGGAGAGATCACTGGAGGAGGTCACTCAGAGGGGGCATATGTACCAAGAGCCCCACATGATGAAGTCAGAAAGGGGCCACCAGATGGGCAACATGATCGCGTTGGTGGGGCAGTGGGGGTAGGAGCCAGATTAGCTGAAGAGAGAATGGGATGAAGTGAGAAAACAGACAATTGGTTTTGAAAAGTCTGGCTATAAATAGGGACAGAGAATCAGGGTCATGATTGAAGAGAGGTGTGGGGTCAGAGGACTTCTTCAAGAATGGAAGCTACCAGGACACATCTGATGACAGTAAGTCCTGGAGTGAGTAAAGAGATTGATCGTGCAGGAGAAAGATGGGGTGAACTTAGGAGTGAAGAACTCCTCAGAAATAATAGATGGGAAAATTTGATCCTGGCCATGAAAGAATAATCAACACCAGAATAGCCCTCTGGTTGTAAACTAGAAAACCAGGCAGAATATTAGAAACAACTATTTTCAGATACTGGACAACAGGAAGACCAGGACTGTGATTAACCAGGTCAACTAAAAGGCAGAGATTGTCAGACTGGGTTACAAGAGTAAGAGACCCATGTGCTGTAAGTGCACTTTAAATATAAAGACATGGATAGGTTCAAAAAGGAACAGAAAGTTTATACCATGAAACAAAGTAAGATAAGGAAGTTGGGGTGGCTATACTCACACTATACAAAGCAGACATCTGAAGAAGGAATATTACCAAGGATAAAGATAGGCATTTCATAATAATAAAACGGTCAACTTATCCAAAACCATGAACAGTCCTAAATGTGTATGCACCCGAAACCTCCAGAGGCAGCAAAATCTGACAGAACTGAAAGGAGAAAGACAAATCCACAGTTACAGTCGAGACACTGCGATATTTTTCTCTGTCTGCCAGAGAGAACTAGTAAACAAAGACTCAGCAAGGATACTGAAGACTTGACAACACAAGCACTTTGACCTAAATGATATTTATAGAACACACCACCCAACTGCAGAAATACACTCTTAACTACACATGGAACATTCACCAAGCTTAACCATATGCTAAGCCATCAAACAAGTCTCAATTATCTTAAAAGAAATGAAATTACATAAATTCTCTGACCACAATGTAATTAAAAACACATAACAAAAAGATACCTGCAAAATCTCCAAGTATTTGGACCAAATACACTTCTAAGTCAGTCATCGGCTTAAGAAGTAATCACAAGGGAAATCAGAAAACATTATGAACTGACTGATAATGAAAATAGAACATATCCAAATGAGCAGAATGCAGCTAAAAATGTTTCCAGAGGGAATTTATAGCTTTAAGTGCTTATGTTAGAAAAAGAAACGTTGAAAATCAATGATTCAAGGTTACTTTACGAAGCTGGGATAAGATGAGCAAGTTAAACCCCAAAAAGTGTTATTACTCCAAAATAAGTGAGAAAGGAGATAATAAAGAGTGGATATCAACAAAACAGAACGTGGACAAACAATACAGAAAAAAAAATCAATGAAACCAGGAATGAAAGAGGGACATCACTACAGATCCTACAGATCTAAAAGGATGATAAGGGGGAATCATTAAATTTATGACAACTTAGATGAAGTGCGCAAATTCCTTCAAAGACACAAATTACTAACACATGAAGAAACACAAAATCTGAGTGGCCCAGGATGTCATCAAAGACATTGAATTTGTAAAAACCTTCCCATCAAGAAAACTCAAGGTGCCTGGTGAATCCACTATTTAAAGAGGTAAGACCAAACATACACAATCCCTTTACTAACATAAGGAAACACTTGCCAACTTCTTATGAGGTCCAGATACCAGATAGGTACTGCCAGAAAACCGCAGATCAATATCCTTCACGAACAGAGATGCAGCAGTTCTCTCGAGATACTAGCAGTGGAATCCAGCAAGGTGTAAGAGCATGACACATCCTGACAAAGTGCTGTTTTTATTTAAGGAACAAGAAATTGGTTTTAATATTTGAAAATCAATTGATATGGTTTACCAGACTGACAAGCTACACCTACAACAATCCTATCACCAGCATCTGAGATTGAGAACACGGCAAGGATGTCCACTGTGACCACTTCTAGTCAGTGTCTGACTAGAGGCCCTGGACAGGGCAATGAGGTAAGAAAAAGAACTGAGAGGCATAGATTGGAGAGGAAGTGGTAAAACGGTCTTTATTGGCAGATGAAATGATTGTGTAGGTAGACTATCCACAGGTATTTGCCAAAAAACGACAGGAGCTAATAAATGAATTCAAGCAAGGTCACAGAATGCAAAGCCAATACACAAAACTCCATCATATTTCTACGCTATCAGTAATCGATTAGAAAATGAGATAAAGATACCATTTACAGTAGTGTCAAAGCCTGTTAAGTACATAAGGAAAACTTACCAACCCGTGAAAGTACTGCTGTGTAGCAGGGTTGTGGATCTGCCGCCAGTACAGCGCACTGAGAATGAAACAGGAGCCTCCAGAGGAGCTGCGGGCACTGGGGGCAGCGGTGCGCTGCTGTCTGGTGTTTAGTAGGACAGGCAAGATCCCTGAGGTGAAAAGCACTGGAAAAGCTCAAGGCTTTCAGTGTTACAAACTCCGCAAGCACAGCCACAGGTCAAAACATAAGCTTTTATTACTTCAGGACAACTTGAACTTCAATGCCTAGATTTGTGGAGCATGTAGTGTAAGCCTGTGCTACAGCCCCGGGCTACTTCTGACATTCAGCTCCATGAAACATGACATGTTCTTGAAAATGTGAGTTCCATCTTTTTTCCTCCTCCTCCGCCTTGCTCCCAACTTCTCACCTTCTTGGGGCATCTCACTATCTGGGTAATACAGGGCTCGGGCCTAGCCGAACCTTGGGTAGCAGTCCCTGTCATAATCAGGGACCGGGCCCGAGGCTGAACCTGTGCTCTCTGGAGCCTGACGTGACTTGGCGCCCATTTGTAGCCCCTAGGGGTAGCCTAGCCAGCAGTCACGTGAGGCTAACTCGAAGACCCCAGTGGAATCTGCAGACACTGGCTTGATGGGGACACTGCTGGACCCTTTGGGGTGTCTCAGCACTCTCACTTCCAGCTCATGGACTGAACCATAGGACAGCCACACCTCATCTTTCCAAATCACAACTGCCTGGGAGCGCCCTGGCTGTTTTACAGAGTGGCTGCTTTGCCCTAGGGCTTCAGGCAAGTCCAAAGAGAAAGGCTAAGGGCTGTCCTGCCCAGCTCTCAGGGGAGCCAGCCCCCTGCTCTATCGCACTGTTCCCACTCTGCCTCCAGACATGCGCTCCCCCCACCCCTCCTGCACCATCAGCTTTCAGAGGCAGGACTTTGAGATGTCCCGCCCTGATGGCTCCCAGCAGCTGGCACAGGTGGCTCCCAGTCCTGTGCCCACATCCCTACATCAGCAGGGGCCACCACTGCTCTTCCTTGGGAGGAGGGGCCCACCCCCACCCCCTGCAGGCTGCCGAGAGTTCCTGCGCCTTGAGAACTTCCAACCATGAGAACTTTGACTTCCAGGTTTGGGGGCATCTGCCAGGTGCACAGATCAGCTCTGAAATTCGTCACTCTCTTCAGGGCCCTGCCTGTTCTGGTGTTCCAGGCCCAAGCCTGCAGGAGGAAGTGCCAGTTAGCAAACACAGGGGCCAGAGCCCCAGCCAAGGCCAGGCTGTGCTCCCCCCTCAGCTCCCAGGGCACTCTCTGGAGTTGGGGGCTTCTATTCCTAAGCGCTACTATTCTTCAAATGGCACCTGGAATGGAAAATGCCCGCTGGGGCTGTGGACGTTCTGGAAGCATAGGTGGGGGAGGGGAGTGGGCGGTGGGTGCCCCGCTGACAGGAGTTGTTGTCGGGGGAAGGTGAGCGAGTTGGGACAGGCAGCCTTCATTACAGGGGTGGCGGGCACTTGTGCTGTCCCACCTCTCGGGGAGCAGGTGCCGTGTCCAGGTAGCACCAGAGGCAATGCAGCTGCTTGGGGCTGGCATGAAGAGCCTGCCCGAGGCCCTAGAGGGCAGCCCTCTAGCTGCAGAGCGCATGCAGTGGCAGGGGCCAGTCCGGAGGTACCTGGGAGAGAGCCAGAGGAGAGCAGCTGCAGGCTGTCCAGGACCCCGTCCTCATACAAGGCCAGCTTCTGCACCATTTTTTGCCGGGCCGGGTTGATGACAATCTGTGGTGGCTGTGATGGCGCGGAGCTGCCCAGGAGCGATCCTGGGGTGGGGAGAGCACTGTCTTAGCTGCAAGGAACTCCTTGCTTCCACTTGTGGCCTCACAAGTGTTCCTGGCCCCCAGCCTAGCTCCCTGCCCCTTTGGGACGGAAGTCCTCAGTGCCTTCTCTGAGGGCAGGGCCCGGAACGGGCACCACTGGGGCCCCAGCTCCCAGCTAGGCCAGGAGCCCCACTCTGGACAGAGCCTTGTGTGCCCAGCTTTCAGTAAGTGCGCTCACCCACCTTGAGGGCATAGCCTGGGGAGAAGACACAGCACTGGGCTGTCCTCTGCACCCCTTCCCAAAGCTGGGCAAGCCGCCTGTCCTGTGACAGTGGCCTGGAGCTTGCTAAGGGAAGAGTGAACTTAAAAGCAGGCCCCGGGGTGTGGAGTGAGGGGACTGTTGCAGAGGGCCCTGGTCCCTCTCCTGGGCATCTGCCTCCAGCTACCTTCCACAGCTGTGGGCCAGGGGCCCGGGCCGCTCCCCCAGCTTGACTCTTGGGTGGCACCCTCTTGAATACAGCCAGCCTGCCTGAGGGGTGCTGAGGCCTGCACGACAGCCCCGTGTCCAAGACTGCCTGGCAAGGCCAGGCCCGGGGCACAGCTCGGGGTCAGCTGCCAGGAACGCAGGGCGGCAGACAGGCCAGACACACTCTCGTCACTCTCCACAGGCTGGCTGGGGCCCTTCTGGAGCCATTCTGTAGCCTGGGCTGGGGCTCCAGAGGGCACTGTCAGGGGCTGCTGGGGGCTGGTGCTGCTTGGGGCACTGCCAGTGGCAGACACATAGGAGTCCTCCTGGGGGGAAGGAGGGCCACAGCTGGCAGCCTCTGGCCTCAGGAATGGCCCTGCTACTCCTGTCTGTAGCTCCTCCAGCCTCTCGTACACCTGCGAGGACAGAGAGCTGCTCTCAGGGTGAGTGGCTCGGGTGGGGCTCTTCCCAGCTCCTGGGCTGGCCGGGCTTGGCCATGCTGACCGGTCACAGCCCTCAGAGATGGTTGGGGCCCACCCACAGGGCTGCCACCACAGGCCACACGCAGCTGCTGTGGGGGCTGCAGGGACCAGCAAGGTTGCACACCCTGCAGCTGGGAAAGCCCTGTCCCTTGCCCTTTGTCCCTGTCACAAGGAGTGCTGAGTCGTGGCCACCAGAGCTAAGGATTGGAAATGGCTTCTGTTTTCTAGAAAGTACATCTCACTGCCCTGCTGCCCTCTATTGTCAACTGTCAAGAGAGGAAGAGGTGGCATCCAGGGAGGGGACAGCAAAAGGCAAATGCAGTGTTCCCAGAAGGGGGTACACTAAGACCCCTTTGTTTCTCATATACCAGATGGGGTTCAGGGGGGCTCCAGCTGCCCACAAAGAACCGAAGGGCAAGCAAGGAATGTCTGGAGGCTGTAGCCACAAAGCAGCCCGGTAGGTACTGTGTTTGGCTCGTCACAGGGCAGCACCAGGAATGGGGAACTTCCTGCAGGCTACTGTCCCCCTTGGGCAGCCGATGTCTCAACTGCTTCTGGTCCCCCTTGTCTTCCCAGGGCTACCTGGGTCATGGGGGGTCTCCTCTTGGCCCGGCGGTGCAGACAGCAGCAAGCCAGCTGGCCCAGGGCCAGTCCCAGTTCAGGTGGGCACGGCCCAGGCCTGGGGTCCAGGTGTTTCTTATAGATCTGGGTGGAGATCGGGGCAGCCCAGGCACCTTCGGCCAGACCTGCTGGGAGCGTGGGCTGGGTGCTTTTCAGGGCAATCCCAGCCTCCTCGGCCTCCTCTTCAACCAGGTCTTTCTGTGGGACAGATACTGTGAGTGGGGCCACCAGGGGGCTGTGCCTTCACCACATTCATCAGGCCCTTTCAGACTCCTGTGGGCCTTCTTCAGATTCACTAAGTACCCACTGTGTGCCCAGCACTGCCCCAGGCCCTAGGGATATAGCAACAAACAGAACACCCAGGCCTGCCTTCCCAGAGCCACTGAGCCTAACCCTATGTGGACCTGTGATGGAACCTGAAGGCCTGAACTAGCCTAAGACGGTAGAGCCAAGGAGGAGCGCCCCAAGGAGAGGCCCCTGGGGTGGAGACAGGACGGGGGTGGGGCCGGGCTTTCAGGCAGAGGGACAGGACCGCACACAGGCCCCGGGGCAGGCAGCAGGGAGCCAGCAGGGGTGGCCTTCATTCCACGCACAGTGGGCAGGAAGGCAAGGGAGCTGTCACAATCTCTCTCTGTTTCTGAAAGATTACTTGGGCAGTGGCATGGAGAACAGATAGGAAGGGTCTGGACAAGACTGAAGAGCCGCGGGGAGTCTGGTGTGCCGCACGGAGACGGCAGTGCTCACGCGGAGGGCGGCGGCAGAGGGACTGGCTCTGGAAACGGCGCCAGCGAGCTGTGCAGGTGGGTGTGGACAGGGAGAAGTGGGGGGCTCCTGGCGGTCGTCCCCGTCCCAGCCTGGACCTACTGAGAACCGGTCATGGCCAGAACAGCGCGAGCCGGAAGCAGTTGCGGCGCGAGGTATGCGTTTGTAAAACACAAACAGTAACTGTTGACCAAGCACATTCTGGGCCCTGGAACTGTGTATTAGGTCTGTTTCCGGGTCAGGGGACAGGCCCATCAGGGGTGGACTCTGGGACCGCCATCAGGCCGTGGCCAGAACCCAGTTCTCCCGTCTCCATCTCAGTCCACAGTGAGGCAGACAGGAGCCAAGGGGCAAGGGGGTGGGGCAGCTTGGACCCCTGCTGGGATGCCCCCTCCCCCGCCCTTAACCCAGGTGCGGTCTGGAGAGGCCCCACCCATCGCATCTAGAGAAGAAAGACAGGTTTGTCCTCGGTGAGGTAGGAAGCTCTCTGGGCCCTGCCTACTTTCAAAGGTGACTCAGCAGCAGAGGCTGGCTTCTGTGGGGCAGTGCATTCTGGATCACTCCACCCTCCGGGGCTGCACCTGTTGGGTGCCAGGGGCAGTGCCTCTCTCCCTCCCTCTCTGCCCCACCCACCTCAGGAGGCTCACCAGATACTTGGTCTGCGCACCATGTGTCCTCACAGCCCTCTGGCCAACCAGGGTCTCCAGCACTACCTGGAGAGAGGGAGCATGGAAAGTGTAGTGGTGGCTTCTGGGGTGGCACTGCCCTAAGCCTTGGGTGGAGCAGCCCAACCCAAGGCTCAGACTGGGGCTGCCAGGGGCATGGCCCTTGGATGGGCAGGGACACGGCCACATACTATGGGACCACAGCCCAGGCAACTGGGAGGGCCCACGTGAAGAAACACATACGAAATGAAGACGAAGGCTGAGGACAGGGACTGCCAGGGAGGGAGGAGCCCTGCAGCTGAAGCTCTGCCAGCTTCCTGCCGGGTCGGCCTCTGGCCCACATGGCCTCAGCTCTCCCTGTAGCCCCCCGGCCCCCACCCCCACCCCAAGCCAGTGGAGGGCCCCGCAGCTCACCACACCGAAGCTGAAGGTATCGGTGTCGACAGCCAGCCTCCCTGTCTTGACGTACTCCTCGGGCAGGTAGGCCAGGGTGCCACGCACAGTCCGAGTCCAAGCCACAGCGCTGCTCTGGCCAGGATTGGCCCCTACGAAACGGCTGAGACGGGCCAGGCCAAAGTCCCCCAGTTTGGGCATCAGCCTCTCGTCCAGAAGGACATTGGAACTTGGGGGGAAAGGGAGCAGTGTCAGCCTGGCCCTGGCCTGCTCTGCCCCCCTGGACCTGCCTGCTGGCCCACACCTTTCCCTGCTGATGCTACCCGAGTATTCCAGCTATCTGAGGGGCTCCGAGCAAGCAGCCCCAGGGACACCCTTGAAGATTGGGCCCCTGTTCATCAGTGGAAGCCTGTCCTCGGCCTGGCCTATGCTTCTCCATCTGTCCCATGTCAGGTACTCGGTCACCTGGGACTCCCGGATCTGACGTCCCAGGCCTCACGACTAACACCTCTCTCTCTTGATCAAGGGAGGACAGGCCCATTCTCATGGGGGCACTCAGGCAAGGCTCCTTGGGGCCAGACGCCAGGCCTCAGTGAGCAGGAGCCATTGCTCGCTGCTGGCAGAAGGTTGGGAGCACCTTCCCCTGGCCTAGACTCCACCCCTGCACCTCTGAGGGGCCCCACAGGCTCAGCTGTGTCACTTCCTCACCTCTTGACATCCCCATGGATGAGGCTGGGGCTGTCCTGATGTAAAAACTGAATTGCCCGGGCTGTGCCCAGAAGGATGTCCAGTCGCTGAGGCCAGGAGAGAGGGGTGCCGGCCTGAGTGGTCTGGGGTGGCAGAGCAAAGGGGCACAGGGAAAGCTGAAGGGGCGGTACCGCTCCTTGATCCCAACTCTCCCTCCACCTGTCACTGCAAGGTCTGGACATGCATCCGGGCCTCAGTTTCCCCTTTTGGAAAACAAACAGCCAAATCTCCATGGCTACTTTACAAGGTCAAGTGAGACCAAGCTACTCTGATGCTCTGTAAAGCAGGCTGAGGACTGGACGACGGCTGGGGAATTGCTTCTGGGACTGACGACAGAAGCTGGTGGTCCTCAGTGCTTGGAATTCATTCATTCCTCCCAGGACAGCCAGCACCTCGGAGGCTTTCTCTGCACCTCCCCTGACACAGTGTGAGGTCCAGGACACTCTTATCCTATGTGCTGTTAGCCCTTGTATCTTGTGCGCACTTCACTAGCTGGAGCCCACTTGCGGGTCTGGACAGCACAGCCCGCTGCCCCCATCCTCGGGGGGGTAATGCTGACGAGACCCTTCCACTACTCTGCTTGCAAAGTAGAGAAACTTGAGTTGGGCTAGTCTGTGGCAATTATGCCCTTTATAAAGGCACCAAGGGGCCAGGCTCCAGAAGCAGTCAGGGAGAAGCCACGGGAAAGAGTTCTGGGGAAAATGGTAATCCACCTCATGCCAAACCCTGAGCCTGGGCCCTGACTGCCAGTGGGACCCACTCACAGAAGCCAAGAGCCCAGGTCCCAGGCCCCACTTTGCCCTGGGGTCAAGACCGCTGTGGGTCCCATGTGCCAGGTCAAGTAAGCTACCTGTGAGTGGAGGCGGTCTTCCAAAGAGCCGTTGGGCAGAAAGCCATAGACGAGGCAGTAGAAGCCACTCTGAGCACAGTAGCCAGCAAAATCCACGATGTTTGGGTGACGAAATCTGCTTGAAAAAGTGGGACCTGAGTCCTCTGGCCTCCAGCCTGTACCACACTTTCCATCTGGCCGTGCTGGGGGTGGGCAGTGCCTGCTGGTCCCTCAATGAGCTAGGCCTCGCAGGCTCTGGGGGCCCAAGGAAGACAGGCACCGTGGTATGTGGCCCTGGAGACCAGGGGGGCCCTTGTGGGGCTTTCCCTCTGCCCACAGCCAGAGGGGCCACCCCAGGCTCACCGTGACAGCTGTGCCACTTCAGTCAGGAAGCTCTGCTTCACTGTGCTCCACTCCAGGTCTGCCTCCTGCAGCCCCCGGGGAAAACAGGGGTGTGGGGGGGTGCACAGCATGAGGCTCTAGCAGCAAGGCTTGATGGCCACTCCCATGGCTACCTGTCCTGGGCCCAGAACAACCAAGTGTCTGGAGACCTCGCACTGGGGAATTAGGAGGCTGAAGGAGCCCCATGGGAGGTGGACCAGAACGGTGAGGGTCTGCCGAGGACCTTCCAGGGCTTTTGTGGGACCCCACACCCACCTCCTTCAGCCTCTTCACAGCATACACCGTGTTCCTCATCACAGCCTGGTACACGCACCCGAAGCCACCCTCCCCAATCTTCAGCTGCTCTGAGAAGTTGTGGGTGCCTTGGACAATCTCATGGAGGGGCCAGCAGAATGGAGAAGGGTGGGCCCCCTGCAGGAGGGACACCTGGCTCTCCGAGCTTGGCTGTGGGAAGAGACTGGGATCAGGTGGGGAGGTCCTGCCTCCTCCCCTCTGGGGTGGGGTTGGGGGGCTGCAACATCCCCCAACCCCAGCTGCCTCCTGGCTGGCCCTGCGGGGCTCCCTAGTGCACCAAAGCCTGGGTTTCTTGCGCCTGATCTCGAACCTTTCCTGGGAGCAGGGCCCACTTACCTTGGTAAAGGAAAGGACTGGAGATGGTGGTGGCAGGAGGGCAGCAGGACTTGGAACAGGGTGGAGCTCAGGCCCAGAATGCGTCTGGGAGCCTGGAAAAGCTTCATAAAGATACCAATTGAGAGGACGGCAGGGACTAGCGCCAGGGTCTCCAGCCACAGCCATAGTCAAGGAGGCCCCTTCTTCTGTCCATCAAGCCCAACACCAAGCTCTCTTACCTGGGGAGAGGAGGGTGGAGGCTGACGACTGCAACTTCCGGAGGCTGGGGGCCTCGGCCTCGGTGGCTGCAGAGATGCAGCTGGGCCTCGGCGCAGTGGTGCTGGGGGGTGGAAGTGGAGTGGGAGGCTGCCCTGGAAGTAACGTACGGTTAGGCCCGGTTGTGAGGGGATCCCTAGGGGGGTGCCCCAGGTGGCCCCCAACCTGGCGGTCCCGGGTGCCCCCGGGGCCACGCGCTCACAGCCTGTGATGATGTCCCGCGCGCGGAGCAGCTGCAGGTGCGTGAGGATGCGAACAAGGTCGGCCACGCGGGCGTTGCGGTTGATCCAGGGCCACAGGACGCTAGCCGTGCGCTGCCCGGAGCGCTCGCACAGCCGCAGCTCGGTCTGGTCGCGGACGATCAGGGCCGCTGCGGGGCGGGGGGCGTCAGGCCTCGGTGTCCGAGGCCCGCGCCCACCACCCTACCCCCCGTTGCGCCCCGGGGCCGGCACCCACCAAACTGGCACCAGTCGGAGGGCTCCAGGGCATCCATCACTTTGTAGAAGCGGCACATGACCCAGGGCGGCACCTCGTACAAGAAGTGCTGGGCTCCAGGGGCCGCGGGGTCCTCTGGGCCCGGCCCCCCGGCCATGGCCGCCGCCGCCGGGCCGGGGCCGGGGCCTCTAGGGGCCGCGGCGGGCGCGGGCCTGGGCCGGCCGGGTGGGCAGACACTGACTCACTTCCCCTTTAAGCCGACCTCGTGCGGCGCCCGGCGGGCCGGAAGGGGCGGGGCCGGGCCCGCCGCCATCTTGGCCGCCTCCGCCCTGCTGCCCTCCGCCGCACGGGGCGCCGCCTAGCCGGGGGACGCGGGCCGGGCGGCTTCCAGGAGGAGGGGCGGTCTGAGGGCATAAAGGGCCTGGCGGGGGCGCGGGACTGCGGGCCGGGGCGGTGGCGTGAGGTCCCCCGAGAAAGGTTGGCTTCGTGTGGGGGGCAGCGGAGCGTCGGCAGAGGTCCAGGCCGGGCAGGTCAGGTGTGGGGCGCCCAGAGCCCCCCGCTGGCCTCCTGCAGCCCGCCGGCGAGGCTGGGGGCGCGGGTCGCCTGGAGCGGCGCCTTCCGCCCACCTCCCGTACCCTGGCTGGGCGCCTTCAGGAACCTGCTCCTGCCATTGTTAGTTCTTGGCCGCATCTGCTGCTTTTCCTTCTTTGCTGGCTCCTTCCCACTAGCACATAAAACGTGGTTACGTCTCAAGTAAAGCGCCTTCAGTTCCCGCTGTCCCTTCTCCATCTTGGCTCACCGCCGGCTCAGTTTGCACACCTTGCCCGCCCCCCTCCTCCCTGGGCGCACCTCGGGACTGGCATAGACCGACCTCTTCCAGGTGGCAAGCTCAGTTCCCAGCCTGTTTGATGTGTTGGCCACACTTGTTTCTGTTGCCCATTTCCACAATACTCTGCAGCCGTTGATTCCTATGGATTCTCTGGCACCCCTCCCTCCCCTTACCACACAGAAGCTGACACTGTTTTCCTGTCGTCTTCCCGAACATCTCTGCTCCATCTCTTCCCTACAGACCCACTGCTCTCACTGCTCCCTTACAGGGATGACCCTTGTCCCCTGGCTCCCTAGGCCCCCCAGGTGGGTCAGGCCACAGCCTCTGCTGTGTGTGGCAGCTCTAGTGCAATAAGTCTCTTCACTTGTCTGCCTCCCCCACTATATGGGAGAAGATATCTGGCCCCCTGCCCACCACTTCCCCCAAGCAGCAAGCGTGACTTTCTCCTTTGTTTCCCCAGCTGGGGCGTGCTTGCAAGTTCCCCTTGCCCTCTTGATCCTGATCCCAGAAGGCTCTCCCTCTCCTGCCAGTGATGAAAAATGCCAAGATATAAACAGTATAGTAAGAGCAGGAGGGACACCATTTTATAACTAAGATTCCATTTTAAAAACCAGGGTGTCAGGAGGTTACGATTCCGAACTAACACACCCTCTGGTAATCAGCCAGCAGCCCATCTCTAGGCAGGGTAGGCAGTCCGAAATGATAAATCCCCATTGCTTGTGGGTAACCACTACCTTGGAGAACAGGATCAAGAAATTCCTTCTGTTAAGTTTATCTCACAGAACATCTAGAGGACTGACTGTGGGTGGTGACATAATGCCTCTCACCAGAGATACACATGCGACATGTCATGCCTACACATCCCCTGGCCCTTTGCCCCATTCCTGAAATCCTTAAAAGACAGAATCCTAAGCCCTTAAGTGCGTCTCATCTCTATGGTTGCCCGCACTCCCTTTTCTGAGTGTGTACTTTTTAAATAAAACCTCACTGCTCAGCTTACTGCGTTTTGTCTCTGCACTCCTCCAGTGATGTCTTTATTTTGCTATTTCGTTCTCTTTTCCAGAAAGCACAAGTCTTCACTCTCTCTGTCCTACTCCAGACAAGTAGGGAGAGGCTGCTGAGAACTCTGACTTGGCCTGCAGGTTCCCGTCCCCTGGGTAATGCAGACAGGACAGCAGCTGTGCGATCCTGCTCTTTAGCAGGCTGCCTGAAAATCTCCTGTCTTTGTCTCTGGGAAGTTCTCAGAACATCATCTCCCTCCATCCAGTGCTCTGCAGCTCCCCCAAATCCTGGCCTGGTGGGGGCTTAGTTCCCAAATCATGCAGATGCAAGTGGGCCCTGGATGCCAGGGGACACTGTCTTTAGAAGTTGCCAACGGATCTGCCCTATGCTGAGCAGGAGTTCAGTGAGCCTCCCTTTCCTCCCTCTGCTGCCTGCACAGCTGCTGCCATTCACTGCCGCTCTCGCTTTAATGAATTCTTTCCTTACCTACACTCGTCAGACCTGTTCAAGAATTCTTTCTTGTTCAGAGTCAAGAATGCTCCCCGGCCTGGTTGAGGTTTCACCTAGCGTACCTCCCCAGATCAGATGCAGCTGCCCAGCAACAAATACACACAGTTTGAATTTCAACCCTTTGCTTTGTAATGTTCAAGACCAGGCCTTTGGAGTGCACCTTCTAGTAGGTGGGTCCACATTTGCATGTGCACCTGGACACTGAAAAGTTGCCATTCCTTCCAGCCCAGCAACAGCCCAGTGAGGACAGCTGTGGTAGGGCAGGCAGCTCCTGAGAGCCCACACAACCTTACAGGAAGCCAGGGAGCACCCGCAGGATGTGACAAGGCCTGCAAACCCCACAGTGATGACAGCGCCCCCTTTGGGCAGGGAGCCAGGTCAGCAGAGGCCATGGGAGGGTCTCAGGTGGTAGCCTGGGAGGAGCTGCAGCTGGTAGGGGGAAGGAGGGTATTTCCAAAAGTGCTTCAGCACATTCAGACCAAGGCACCTCTCAGGGACAGGGAAGTTATGCTGCCATGCAGAAGGCCTGTAGCCCACCTGCCTCGGACCTTGGGCACAGTGGGTTCACACCTGGCCCTTCCTTCCCAGCCTGCCGCAGAGAGCTTCCTGGCACGCGCAGGAGCACAGCACCTGGAAAGTGCGGCCTGGGGACACCCAAGGACAGGTGGTCTATGGAGTGGGCTGCTCTTTCCTCCCGTGGCTGTCCTGAAAGCCACCGGCTATTTGTGTTCAGGGACAGCCAGACAGAATGAGGAAACACACTGCCATGCTGTCCGGTGAGCTGTCTGACAATGAAAGCCCAGACCTGGAGTCACTTTCACAGAGATTTATCGAGAATGCTAATAGCACAGGGTACAGTACTTCCCAACAAAAGGTGCAAACGCATCACTTAGAAAGGCATGCTGAGCACTCCTTGCTTTCACACGTATTAGAAAACTTACAAAAATAAAATAAAACTGCGTGCTGCCCATCTTTTCAAATAGTAAAAGAACCTTATGAAAAAATCACTTGAGTTTACAACAAAAGACACAAACGGACATTTTTATGTAAATTTATAAGGCAAACTCTTTATATAATAAATAGGTTACAGGGATTCAGTGTGGGGGGGTGTTTCTGAAACGTATACAGGTACATTCAGACAGGTTTACTGAAATGGTACAAATTTCCTTAATAAATTGCCTTTTTTTAAATATATCAGTGCTTTCAGTCATTTGGCTATACACAAAGAACCTTTTTTGAACACTACAAAAAAGCAATCAGTATTTTTTTGTTTTTAAAACGACCTACTTATTTTCTAAAGTAATTGTCCCAAAACACAAAAACTGAAGGTGAATGCGATAGAGGGCTTTTCGAGGCATCTCCAGCCAAGTCTGTCCTGGGCAGCTCCCCACGCCTCACACACACCTCCCCTACCCTTAGCTGGGCTTCTGGGCTGGAGCTGGCTTCCTCTGCACAGGGTGGCCGGTGTCACTGTGACTTGGGAAGGGGCAGCCACCCGAACTGGTTCTTCCTGCTACTAAACCCCATGTGCAAACAGTCACTAGTCAGCACTATCCTTGCCTTTCAGAGGAGGGGCCACCAGGTGTCCCTGTTTCATAAGCCCCAATGTCTGGTGGGGTAATGGCTTCTCTGAGAAGGATCTGCTTTGCCATGGGAAGGGGAGGGGTTTCTTTGTGTGCAAACTTTGCTGGGGATTGGATGACAGCAAAGAGTGCCAAGCCCCCTCTGCCGCCATGTCCCCGGGCTGTGCACTGCAGGGCAGGGTGGGATGGAGGGGAGGTGGCCTGAATGGTAATGCCCACCGTCTGGGCCTGCCATGAAGAGTTGTGTCAGGCAGAGAGTGGCCGGTCTGCCCTATCCACAAAGACCTGACCTGTGGCCACAGTGGAGGTGTCCAGGGAGATGACCACCCAGGTCTGAGCCCTGCTACTCAGGCCCGCCCCATCTCCTTCCCACCAAGGCAAGGCCAGTTCTGCCCATGCCCCTCCTGGCTCCCCTCACAGAAACATCAACCTTGACTGTCCTTAAAAATAATAATGATGCTAGTAACTCTTGGTGGGGAAAAGGGCAAAAAGAATCCAGTGGGTAGAACAAAACCTGGTTTTGCTCTGACTTCAAAAATGGCAACACATTAGCTATTCAGTCCGTTGGCTTGGGCTTAACTTCTTTGGGTGGCTTCTGGCTGATCTGGACAGGGGTCATCTCTTTGGGGATTCCCTCCTGGGGCAAAAGGACAGCCCCGCTCATCTCAGTCACCATCCCTTCCCTCCAAATTCTTCTGTTTGTAAAGAAAAGGTGTCTAGAAGCATTTGTCTCTGGAACAATTACTTTACACATGGTTACAATACAGACTTGAGTTCAAACACAGAAGAGATTTACTTAGCAAATTTCCTTTCACCCACCAAAAATTACACAAATATAAGCTTCAACACCACCACAGTTAAGAGGACCAGTAGAGAGAACCTCGTGTTTGGAACATAAAAGGAGAAGTAAAAACCAAACCAAATCCAAACAGAAAAACCCCAGAAAGACAAGGGGAGGGCGAGGGAGGAGGGGAGGAGAGCAGACACAGCACACGTTACAGTGTCAGGGTACATGGGAGCCCGGCGCGAGGAAAGGGCTCGGCACACATTGAGTAACAGTCCTGGTGATATTTGGTCATATATTCATCAACTACTGACTCTGGAGCGGCTGTTATTGATTGAAGCAGTGACAAATCAAACAGAAAAGGAGGCCTTGATAGCAAAGGAAGGAGCAGGCTTCAAGTTCTAGCAAGCCTTTCTTTGCATTCCACCGTCCAGCTCCCCAGAAACACTGAACTGGGTGGCCCCTGCTCCATCCGGGCAGGACAAGAGGTCCCCAGGTGAGGCTAACTTGGGCGCCGATTCAGATTTCGGTCAGCACGCCTGTGAACACATGCAGACTCCCACCTGTTAGTGGCCAAACATCAGCGGCAACAGCCTCCTGGCCTCCACTGCCCCAGTGCCAGGCTGGGTGGGAAAGGATGTCAAGACCCAGTGCTAATACTGAACGCAGGCTGGAGTGGGCCTGGAGGCCCCCAGCCCAGGTCCTCTGAGGGGCCCACAGCTAGCCTGGCCACCAACGGGCCTACAAGCATTTTTCTTTTGGTTCAGGCCTCAGTAGTGACACAGGGAGGGGAGCTTTTGGCCCCAGTGATTATAATGCTCTCTGCTTTGGAAGAACAAGTTTCTGCATTTTTTTGGTGTTTTTAATTACTTAAAAAAAGATCAAAAAGAACTGTTACAGCTAAACTCTCTAGCAGATATTGCTCATTAAGAATTACAAAAGCAAATGCAATTACTCGTAGGATGGGGGAGAAGGTATGTTTCTGGAGTCTTCACTACTCCTGGAGGAGACCCACTGGACTCTTGCACGTGGTTCTGGGGTCCCCGGTGTTCCATGTGGTGTGGCTCACACATTCAAGGATGCCACAGGTTTCCCATCTCCCCTCCAGCCCCCAGACTCACTGAGGTGGGAGCCCTGCCGATAGGGAGGTCTGCTGAGCCAACTCTCCACACGGGACCACTCTGCCCGAGTCACTGGAGGGGGTGGTGCTGTGCTTGGGTTGGGCCACCCCCCATGGACTCTCATCGCCCCACCCAGAGGTCCAAGGGGACCAGACAGTACCAAGTACATCATGGCCTTAGCCAGGCACAGGAGTGCTCTTGTGCCCACTGATGCAGTGAACTGTCCTCTCACCAGCGCAGGAGAAACTGTGAAACCCGGATGCTACCTGGAGCCTCCTTTGCTTGGCACAGGGAAGCCCTTGAAAGAAGCGAGGAAAGAACACAGTTCTGCTTGGACAGAAGAAGTGACCAGCAGACAGACTTGTCGTTTTTGTGTGTGTGTGTTTGTGGTTTTTTTTTTTTTGATTTTCTCTTGTTCTAAGCTATGGTTATCAGAAATATTGTAATTAAGCAACAGGTATAATTTTAACAGGTCTTTTTTTACGTGTGGAGCCACAAGCAAAATGAGTTTATAGTTGTGCAATATACAGATATATATATATAAAAATTCAACTGCTTTGTGTGTCTAGTCAGTGCATTAAATAAAAGGGACAGAAAATCTAAAAGCAAAACTAAAAAGCAAAACAAAAGCCCAGATAGAGGAGACCGAGCAGGCCTATGTGTATAGTCTGTAAGATACCGGATATGATCGGGGTCACCAGGAAGAACAGCTTTGTCACTTGACGCACAAACACTGCAGGGATAGGGACTACCCGTGGGCAGCAGCCCAGGCTCTTGGCCTTTTCCTCTCGTTCTCTCTCGCTGCTGAGCACAACCTGAGAAAAGGTAAGATAGAAAGGGGGAGCTAAGGGAGCAAAGGCAATTGGCAAGTTCCCCAAGTGCTCTGAAACTCCAAGGCCAGATTCCCCTGCAGGAGGGTTTCACCTGCTGCACTATCCTCCCACTGGCCCAGGGGCAGGACTCACAGCATAGCCGGCACTCAGGCGGCAGCCCCCACCTCGACACTTCAGAGGAAGTAACATTTGTCCCAGCCCTAGGCTGCACGGAGAGCAGTGCAGGGGTGTCCTCGGGACAGGCTGCAACCATTGTTCCAGGGGGAGACATCACCCTCTTCTCCCTAGATGCCTGGGCCTTAGTTAGAAATTGTTTTTCCTGACAGGCAGTGCTGGGTGGTGAGAATGTCACAGGCCTCCGGAGTCACTGGTGACACTCTGCTTCCCACACCAAGGGCTGGGCTCGTGCAGCTTTGGGATCAGGCAGGCCAATAACCTCCAGGCCACCCCACGGGACAGGGTGGCAGCCAAGTCCTCAAGGACTGCTACCCAAGGAGCGACAGGCTCCTCAGGGACAAGATGGCCCCAAGTCTCAGACCCAATGGCTTCAGGCTGGACCTCCTTTCACCTGCGGCACTGTCAGGCTCCAGGTATTTTTTGATCAGCGTTTTTGCAAGAACTTGCTCTTATTCATTCAGAAACAGCAAAATGTTATTTTCTGTCAAATGTTTTCTAGGTTTTCCTTCTGAATTGTTCAGAGTAAGTTTCAGTCATTCACTTTTTCCCCTTTAATATGTAACTTTAGACCCTGGGGGAGGCAGTATCCTAGCAATTTGTTAACAATTGACTATGCCTTTTCTGAAGATTGATAAAATACTTAAAAGAAAAAAAGCAAAAATGGAGGCTGAACAAACCCACTAGAGTGGAGTCTGCTGATGAAAAGAGCAAAGATGGAACCCCCACAGCGAGCACAGCAGAGCGGGCCCTTGGGTGTGGCAGCGGCCAGGGGCAGGGAGCCTGCCCCCCGCTCCCCCCCAGCACCTACACCACCTTCAGTGGACTCGGGGGCTGGCTAGGCAAACCCCCACAGGGCTCTAGGCCCAGCTGACTTCCTGAGGTCTGGGCTGTAGATCCTACAATCAGTGTGTGAAACTTACATCAGGAAACGATCCGGGGCAATGACACTGGCTAGGAATGGATGCGCCAAAGGTCTCCTCCAAGAACTAGTACCTGTGACCTCCCCGGTGTTCCAGAAAAGGGCAGAGCTCAGCTGCGAGACTGCACTTGGGTTCCTCCAGGTCCAGTTGGCCTCCCCTGGTGGATTCAGTTCATACCCTTTGCTCCCTCTGGGGCTTGAGTTGTTTATTAAATTACTTAAAATCCAGAAGTCTCATCAGCTAAGTAAACTCCTTTCCAACCAAACATTGTTGCCAGCTAGTACCCTCTTTCATGATCTCTGCCACAGTAATGACAAGCTGGGCGGAGCAGCATGTGACAACTTGGGGCTGCTCCGGGTCCCACTGCCACTGTTAGTGACCTCTAGCATGGAATGATGCCACTGAACAAACTTGTTACCTGCACCTGCATGGGGTGTCCAGACCCCACCTGGGGCCAGCACCCCCAAGGCTACCCCTTTGGCTTTCAGCTTCCTGGGAGCTAAGGGGCTGGGATCCTTGGTTTGGCACTGGTGGCCTGGGGAACATGGCATTTCTAGTTGTCTCTTGTGCATTTTGATATGGGAACACAGCACCAGTAGAAGGGAGCTGTACTAGAGCCTGGTGGTGGCCCAGTGTCCCCAGTGCACTGCAGCGTCAAGGTGGGCAATTCCACTGGTTGGGACAAGCCCACCAATGGGTAGGACTGAGCCAGGCCAGGTGTGGTGGGAGCTCAAGGACACACAGAATTGCGCTGGGAGAGGAGGTAGTAGCTAACAACTAGAACGGGGGCCGGGGAGGCTGAATGTGACTGTGACCTAGCCCCACAGGTTATCTGAAAGCTGTTGGCCAATTCCTGTATTCTTCAGTCCCTAAAAGATGCTGCCCCCCCCCCAATTTCATAGTATACAAGGACACACAAAATTGAGGTCACACCCCAAACTGGGCCAAACACAGCTTGAGAGAATCCTGTGGCTTAGGCTTTCCCTCCAACCTCCTGTCTACCTGACCCCAGGAGAGGGGTGGCGGGGAGCTGCAGGGCACCTGCCTGCCAGGGCGACAAACCACCAAGACGGCCTGCTTAAAGGTGACTCACTTGTTATGCCTTTATTTGGGAAAGAGGAGGGAATGAGGAAGAAAGGAGAGGGAGAGAAAGAAGACTGTAAGGCGCCTCAGGTGCCGCCTGCAGCTTTGGAACCCTAGGGGAAGAAGCTGGGGAGCCACTGGGCTGCAGGGCGGGCTGGGCTGGAAAAAACCACCTGAAAATGCTGTGTTCTCGACCACAATGCCCAGTCAGCCTCTGAATGAACTGTCCTGCGTGAAGCAGGGGCATGGTGGGCCCTGTACCACTCTCCCCAGGACCAGATGGGACTGAGCCAATGGGGGGCCAGCTCCTGACACTGGTTTCAGGAGCCACTTTCACTGGCTAAGCATTGTGCATAAAAACCTGACCAAAGTGGACGGCGTCTCCATGACAAACTGGCTGTACGCCATGCTTGTACAGATATAGGCATCCTCTGGAGCTGCCAGGAATGCGAGGCCACTGCAGGGTCAGGAGCCTTTGTCCTAGGAGGAAGAGGGGTCTGGAAGGACTTGCCCCCTCCTCTGAGCCCCCTTCCCTTTCTGGGGAGAAGTCAGAAGTGAAGCCTGGAGGGTCGACAGCACAGCAGGTTTGGTTGTGGGACTTGCTTGTGCAGCATAAGGAAATGGATACAAAAATGCTAGAAAGGCCAACTATGACTGCAAACAAAGGGGCAAACTCCCTTGCTTCTAACCATTCTGGAAGAGACAGACACGTTTTTTTCTTAAGCTACTGATTGGAACTGTCAACTATGGTTCCTGATCACTAAGGACTGGCAGGGAAGGGTTAGACAGTTTCTAGAATGTTTCACTCCTTCATGGTTACACTGCAGTAAGGAAGCCAGGGGACAATAACTGAAATACACAAGACAACACACACTTGACAGTTCATGGCAGCAGCTCACATGGGACGTGCTTGTGGGTGTTTCTGGAAGCATAAGACTGCTGTCTCATTTGCTACTTTGATAAGGTACTTCTCAGTTGGACAGATTTAGATATAAGAGACGTCTCTGTAAACACAGAAAAGGATATACCAATATGATGAAGGTATGCAGCTAGATAAGGACTTCCTGAACGGAGGATGGAAAACTCATCAGTTAACACACTACGGGAAGCCCAAGCCTCGAAGTCCCCACCCCATATTCCAGGCGGGCGAGGATGTGGAGATGTGTATGTGCTGGCCCCACCCAGCCTCCAGCAAGGGGAAGCCAAACCTCTCCTGTCAGCAAAGAACCCCTCCTAGGTAGAGGAGGAACAGAGGGGCGGGGCAGGGGGCTAGGCGCTGGTCCCAGCTTAGGGCTGGGGGCATCTGCATTCGTTCTACCTGCTGCCCTGTCTCAATGGACTGTGCTAGTGGGGCCTGGCAAAGGCCAAGGTCAGGGCTGGGTCATTTGATAATTCTGATAGGCCAGAGAGGCCTCTATGCTGCCCTAGGCTCCCAAATCCACATCCCATCCAACTTCTCCCACCTGCTTCTCTCAAGTGAAAAGTTGGGAAGGCCCAGAATCTGGGGTCTGACCAGGGATGGGGGGGTCCCTAGGAGAGGAAGACCTTGCTGCTCTCTTCCCCTTCAGAGAGGCCAAGGTGGTAAGGCCAGGCAGACTCAGCAGAGCCAGGCGCTTCCTCAGGGCTAGGAATGGGGTGGGGCTGGCAGCCAGAAGGCCAGAGGCGGGTGAGTTCTGGGGGCCTGAGCTGACCAGCATCAGCTTGGGGTATAGTGGGGCACTCGGCTGCCTGGAACAGAAGGGATGAACGAGGAGGAAGAAGGGAGAAATGAAAAGATGAAATGAAAGAAGAGGAAATGGGACAGAAGAGAAACCAATCAGGAAGTCCTTATAAAATTGCAGCAAACACTTAGAGTTTCGGAGCTTCGTGGGAACCCTATGTGCTAAGCCCACTTTAAAACAAGCGCAGGTATGTACATATCCAGGTAGTTCTAAACACTGTCATGTCTGTGCCTTGACAGACAAAGTGTTGCCGACTCAAGCCCGTTTGCTCTCAAAGCATGTTTGTTTTGAAGTGGGAACATGAAGACTCAAATAGTGCAAATAGTTCTAAGCTGTCCCTAAAGGAGTAGAATTGGAAAGTTTTGGAAGAACATTTTTCCCTCTTTCCCCTTGGCCCCCTACCCCTACCCCTGGCCCTGTTCACTGTACCTGTCACTACCAGTTACAGACTGCTCAGAGCGACTAGGAATCCCTCCGGTCCCCTGCGTGTTTGGCTGGCCAGAGGGCCGGCTACATCCTGCTGCCTCCACGGTTTCTCTCTAGCGCCACCCACTGGAGGACGGCTGTGGGCCATACTCTCCTGTGGCTTAGGCCAGACTACACCCAGCAGCTCAAAGGACAACTCCCTCCCAGCCATGCCAGCACTGGAGTGCACAGGTGCTACTTCCCTGTCCTGTGAAATGTCCTTGTCGGTTTTGGATGGGGCTGGTGTGGGGCCAGATCCGTGCCATTTTGGGTGGGATCACATGGGCTGTAGCCACTGGCCATCTCCATCTTTCTAAAGAATCTGTCTCTCTGGCCTCACACCTCCTTGTCCCAGTATGGGTAGGAGTGGGGGAGCTGGAGGCAGGGCAGGGTGAAGGGAGAGGAGAGCTGTGACTGGGGTACCAATGGCAGCGAAAATGGGCGTGTCGTCTCAACTGCTCTCTGTCCCTCATGACCACACTGGGGGGGAGGTGTGGAAGGGAGGGGAGGTGCAGGCGTACCCTAAGAAGCCTGGTCAACAGCTTGTCTGGTCAGTAGTATCTGCAGCAAGCCTTGTTGAAGGAGCCTAGTTTAGAAAAGTGCAAAGCTACTTCTGGCCCTGGTTAGGTCTTCAACCTGACTGTGCTTGTCGGTAAGAAAAACATCCCCAATGCTCCAACTACTCCCACCCTGAAGCCACGAAACTCTAAGTTTACTGAAAGAAAAAAAAATATTTTTTATTTCAGTTAATTGGGAAGCTTTGTCAGAGCCCTACCCATAAGGAGAAGAGACAACAGCTGCCTTTATTCTTGTTGGTTTGCTTTGCAATCCACTTTGTGTAAAGTCAGCTCACTCTCTCGGTCACGGGCGTCCGGCTGTCCACAGGCTCCTCTCTGTTTGGCCTTGGCATGGAGGATGAGACAATGTCTTTGCGCTCTCCCTCCCCTCGGTGTTTGTACTTTTCCGTGGCCGTGGCGGCGGTTGCGACCGGAGGCTGAGTCTTAGCTGGCTCCTTGGGGCAGCCGTCACTCTCCAGCGAGCCTCCTCTCGGCATCTTCTCCTCTTTGCAGACGCTGCTGCTCAAGTCCTGGGGCTCAGGGGTGCTGGCGGGGTCCTCAGAGCCCTGGGGCTCAGGTGGGGGCGGGGGAGGGGGTGGGAGCAGCGGTGCGGGTGCCTTCTGGGGCTCCGGGTGGTGGTGATGGTGGTGGTGCTCCTTCTTGGGGGGGGAGGAGGTGCTGCTGCTGCTGCTGCGCCCTTTGGGGCTGCTCTCTTTGCTTTTCCGCCCAGGGCTCTTGCAAGTCTTCAGTCCCTTTCCGCTCTTCTCACCAAGAGTGGACACCAGTAGGGGCTTCACCACCTCCTTCACTTCGATGCTGACCGTCTCCCGGGTCTTGCGCTTCTTGATGGGCAGCACAGTCTCCTGCACAGACCGGATGGAAGATTCCTTCACGGCTTTCTTCTTGGCTTCAGCGGCAGCAGCTGCCACCACGCTGCCAGGCTTCCGACCCCGTTTCTTGGGAATGGCCTGGGGATCAGCCTCGGCTTTTCGCTTCCTGCCTGGACGTTTGATGACCATCACCTGGGTTGATGTGGTGGCCCCACCCCCTTCGGCCTTGCTCCCAGGTGAACCTTGAAAGGGCATTTTGACGAGCAGCTTTCCAGGACTTTTCTCCAGGACCCTTTTCACCTGCATGCCTTCTGATGACGCTGCCTTGGGTCTTGCAGTGCCACTTCCTTTGGGGCGTCCCCGACCTCTGCCAGTTCCTGGAGCTTTGGGAGATTTGGGCTTCTTAGGTGGTTTCTGCTCTCGCCGGGAGGGGCTCCCTCTCCCAGTTACCGTGAAGTCAAAATCATTAGGGTCCAGGGAGGTGTCGCCTACCTTTTCGAAGTATGCAATCAATTCCACTTTAGAGCGAAAGGCTTTTCCCTGGGGACTGTGGGAAGAAGTGGAGAAACACAAAGGATGATTACAAGCTTCTGCAGCCAAGTCAAAGATGGGGCAGAATGGAAAGTGGTAATAAACTCTCTGAAGAAGACGTTCTGCAACAGACATGCCTGATGATACTATTGAACAAGAGTCACATCTAAGATAAGCAAAGCTAAGCTCATACTAGTGGGGTACAGCCATGACTACATATAAACCAGCTGGGTCGCTGAGTAGCAGTGTGCACCTGCACAGCCTACTCTGATGCCAGAGAAGTTCAGGGCTGGGTGCTCCACAGCTGTTGCCTAATGACCCCAAGGACTGGACCTGCCACCAGGGCTCCTCCTCTGGCCCCTAAAGGGGTCTGGCCTGGGGACCCTGTCCAGCCCATTCTGCTGGGCAGTGCCAGGACCGGATCCTCCAGCAGAGCATCGTCTACCTGAACTCAGGTTGTTCTGCTTAGCCTCTCTGGGGATCGGTCTCCAACATCTTCTCAGAGTTGTTGGGATCAAATGAAGCTGTCTGCAAATAGCCTTTGAAAACTGCTAACCTTTTCGGGATCATCTAAGAGGCAGAACTGAAAGGTACTTATTCGCTCCTCAGAAGCTCTGGCTTGGAAGTTACTGTTTCAACAGGAAATGCCTGGCAGCCAGCCCAAAGCTGGACAGATGTGCCAGGGACAGTTGGAAAGGCACATGGAGCCCATCTGTGTCTTTCCCCAGAGCCCCTTTCAGAGAAGCCACCTTTCCCAACATGATTCATACACTGGACTGAGCCCTATGAATTTGTACTTTTTCTGGCTCATGAAGCAATGTTACAGAATGACTCTCCCAGAAAGAAGTGGTTGACAGGTTCTGAGAAGAGCCTCTTGGCTAGATGCTCTCCAGCTGGAAAATGGCAGGAAGCCCGGAGAGCTTCACTTGCCTCCTGAGCCCAGGGCACCACACATGGGGGGCCCCGTGGCCTCTGCTCTGGGTCCAGCCTGTGCAGGGCCTTGTGCAGTAACCTCTCCAGCGGCATCCTCACTGTGGCCCTGGATAGGCCCTCCTGCATTCCATCTCCAGACAAGGCCCCAAGGGCTGGCAGGGTAAAGTCACACTGTGCAACCCTGTGCATGTCTCACTCAGGGCACTGACCTCTGTACAGAGTTGTTCCAAACATACCTGGTCACACCTCCAAGCGGTGTTCATTACTGAAGCCCCTGCAACCCAAGGTGGGAAAGTGGGGTTACGCTCACCCATTTTCTGATCAACAGGCAGCAAAGAGCTGCCCCTCCAAGGGCTCCCCATCAGTTTCTTAGCACTTGCCCGACCTTCTGTTCACCTGGCCCTCCGCACTTTGTAAAGACAGGCATTGCCCTTACTTCCCTTACTTACTTGATTAAATACACATCATACTTCCCAGCGGAGCGGCCAGATTTCCTTTGCTTAAGCTTTCGGGTCCAACCTTCAGGCAGAGTGGGGTCATCATACATGGGTCCCCTGTCACGAATGATGGAGCGCCGCTGTTTGGGGGAGGCAGAAGCTTCTGGGGCGGCTGGGGCTGAGCCCGACCCTTCTGAGGTCTCCGCTTTGCCTGCCTCTGCTGGTTCAGCTGAGTGGTGGGCTGGTGGCTGCAGGGACTCATGCTTGCCCTCTTTATCTTCTTTCTTATCCTTCTTCACCTTTTTATACTTCAGGGGTTTGTCCTTGAGGCCCTGGAGATCCTGGTCTTCTGACTTTTCTTCCCTGAAGCATTAAAGAAGTACGTCAGTATCACAGAGAACACACCAGTTTGCAGAAAATGTGAGCAGTGGGAAAAGGGGCTCCCTGCTAGGGCTTGCCTCAACCTTGAAGCCCTTCCCCTTCCTGGATTTCTTCAGGGGCTTTGGGCTGCTGCTGCTGCTGGCCAACTGCAGCCAACTTGCACTGTGGCCACCCTGAGTCCCATTCCTAGGGTGCAGGAGAGTAAGCAGCATGCACAGGTGACATTTTTCTGAGTAGAAACATGGTGTGGTTTCTGAGCACACTGCCTTGGGCTCACAGCTGATAAGACGCCCTGAACTGCTGGAGAGGGAGCCTCCCGCCCACAATGGGGTGGTGCTCCTCTTCACAAAGGCCTGGCCTTGGTGTTACTATAGCTTCTGTACATAGGGTTTTCTTAGATGTGCTCTCAGTATAAAACAGCCATGGGTGAGAGCACAACCTGCTGATGGGAACACAGCCCCACACTACCCCTTTGGGAGGGCACATGCGGTGCAGCCCTGTGGAAAGAACACACAGGTTTGGCCTGAGCAAGTGACCTCAACATCCCATGCCTCAGTTTCCACACCTCAATAGTGGGTACCAACACCTCAGAGGGAGAAAAGTCACAAATGCCCTATGTAAATACTAACTTGTACAACCAGCAACTGATGCCTAGAGTTTCTGGTAGAAGATGAAGGGCAGTCCCAGGATGGGTGAGTCTTTATCGCCGGACACACCCTTACAACACTTGAGCCTTGGGCAATGGGAGGAAAAAGCACCCTCATTTTGGGGTGGTGCATCCCCATTCTTTCATGCTGATGGAGTGCCTCCTTCCTTACATTTTGGTTCTGCCATGTAGGGTCCCTTCCTTGTGTACTTCAGAAATGGTCACCCTGAGGCCCTGGACCCTGGCATCAGAGTCTGGTCATGATGCTCTTGTGGCTGGGCTAAGAGGGCAAGAACACAACCCTGGCCAGGGGAGATTTGGAAAGAACGGTGGGCTTCTGATCAGTTGTATGTTAGTCCCTCAGTTAGCAGTTCATTCTGCAGAAGAACAAGACTACTGTTGTCCTCTGTACCTCAGTCCTTGTGCTACCCTGTCCCACATGGCTTACATCAGTACTGGCCACTACCCCCAAGGGACTTCCCCTTCTTGTCCACACCTTGGAGACACCATATATGCACTGGAACCAGACCTGAATGACGAGGGTAAGTCACCAAAGGCGGGTCAGCACTAGGACTCACTCAGTGCCGTGAGGACACAGATCCTGTCACACATGAAGAGATAGGTCACAGTGAAGACACATACTAGCCCCAAGGCTTGCCCCTGAGTCCCTCCCTATTACAGACCTTTCTCCAGTTCAGGGCTCAGAGCACGGCTGCCGGGTCACCCAGATTCAGCCCATGGCCTGCAGGTGACCTTTCCTTGATGTAAAGCAGATGTCCCTAACCTTTTCCAGCATAGCTTCCTTTCCCAGTTCTCCTAGTCTAAGCCTCTCAGTGGAAAATAAGCAAAAGCCCTGGGGAGCTAGGTGTGGCCTGTGACCCACTGTCATGGAGGGGAGATGGGGAGCTTGCCAGCATCAGAGTAGTGGACAGACTGGAATACCCTCTGCCACCTGGTCCACAGGGGCACTGCCAAAGGCCAGGGCTGCTCCCTGGAACAGACCCATCATGAGAGAAAAACACTGCTCCAATGGAAAAGGCCTGGCTTCTTCACAACTCTCACATGTATTCCCCAAATACATGAACCACCATGAATACAAACCACATGCCCCAGGAATGCCTCTTAGGTACAATGAAGAGTGTCAATGCCATTGAAGGCAATCCCTTCTAGAAAACTACCCTGAAGAGACATCTTCAGAAATGCAAAACAACAGACACAAGATGTTCTTGGCATTTCTGGCATTACTTTCACTAGCCTGTAGACAACTCAGACAGTTGCCATGAGGGACCTGCTGAATGGAGACAACATGCCCATAGAATGAACAGCAGTTCAGCTGGAGAAGGGATCTACTGTGACATGAATCTGTAGATTACAGGCTGCCATTTGTGTGAGAAAGAAGAGAACTTTAGGAAGCATGTAGCAGAAAGAATCGAACTGGTTCCTGGCATGAAGTAGGCAGGTACAGGTGAGGTGCAGGCATGGGGCATGGGGTGAGACCTCTCTGAATCATACAAAAGTTAACATAACCAAAAAAAAAAAACCACCAAAAGGTAACAAAACCCCATTACATTGAATGCAAAATTTACTTTAAACACATTGATAATATACCACAGAGGAAAGGTTTATTTCAAATGCCTTGACCACATACCCTTAGAGGGACATATCCTAAGGCCAATGATGGCATCCCAAGGGCAGGGAATATGCCTAGTATCCACAGAGGGGAACCAGGCTAACCCCTGGGAGAAGCAGATGGTTCTGTCTCTGCGGTGGCCTATGAGGGCAGCAAGCAAGGTAGGGGGGCACTTAGAGGGTCATGAAGACACAGGCACCTGCTGAAAGGGCTCCTTGCATTGGGCAACACTGTGACCAGATGAATGTCCAAAAGAATGAACCTATTAGAATACAATGAAGAAAATTTCACATGGTGATATTAGGGGAAAAAATAGAGAAAGACCTAAAGGAAATGAGGGGACAAGCCACATGTAGGGGAAGAAGGTTCCAGGCAGCAGAGAGGACTCAAGGTGGGAGATGTGGAGGTCTGTGATGGGTCTTACTCTGAATGTGATGGAAATTACCAGAGAGTTTTGAGCAGTGGTCCAGGAAGGACCTCAGAAGCCTCTCGCTGCAGTCTCAGCACAGCTCTGGTGGGGACAGTGGAGGATCTGGGACCTGACCAGGAGGTGGAATGACAGAGCTGGTTGACAGACTGGTGTAGAGGTAAGGGGCAGGGACAAGTTAAGAGCCATGGCCAATGTCTGGGAGGATGGTGGTGTCACTGACTGAGGATGGGGAAGCCTGGGCTAGGAGTGGGGGTGTGGGGGTTACAGCTACATAGAATTTAGAAGTTCAGCCACAGTTAGAAGATCAAGGAAAGAACATAGTCCTTTGGCTACTGGCTACAAAGTGGGGGAGACCCAGCTGTCCACCTGTGCCCAGACTCTGACTTGGGCCTAAATGAAGTGCTGTGTGTCTTTTTAAGTTTTTTTATTGTGATAAAAAAATGACAAAATTTACCTTTTTAATCATTTCTGAGTGTACATTAAATGAACTTTTTAACAGCATTGAAGATGGGTAATAAGAGGTCCTTTAACTCTGTTATATTCTAGTTTTCAAACTGAAATTACTTGAAGCAACTATGACAATATGATGGTTTTCAATTCTGTGCACTGAGGAGCACACAGGGCTTTGTTTTCTACTCTTTTCTGACTGCTACTTCTCTACTTAAAAAATAACAAATGCCCATCAAAAAAAACAGAAGTAGCCTGGAAGCCACTATGCTGGGTGTGTGTACTGGAGGTAAAAAGGATGCAAAACAGGTAATCCAAATGAGGTAAGCGTTGTCCCAGCTGCCTGCTCAATCCCAGGGTGACTCAAGGGAGGAGGCCAGGTTGGGGTGCCAGGTACCTTCCCAAGACTGACCCCCTCAACTGACCAGGAGGTTTACAGGGTTTGCTGAAACACACTTTTTCAAAGAAACCAAACAGCTGTCTTCATCCTCCTCTGAATCAAACCATATATACATGTGTGTGCAAACACAGATACACACGCATGCACAATCGACATGAGTATGAGGAGAGCACTTGTGACCACCTAGTTCACAAGTTCATAAATTTTAGAGTTGGGAATATCCTCGGAAAAATGTGCAGTGTTAGAGTGTAGCTCCAGGCAAGTTCACTTTGGATTCACTGAGACCCATGAATGTTGGGAGTAAAAAGGGGCTCACACTGAGCTTTATTCTCATGGCGGTCACCTGGCTCTCTACAAGCAGCAAGCCCATCCCTGTCTCTGCTCCGCACCCCAGCCTCTGCCCAGGCACTGCCCTCTGCCGCTTGGGGCTCCTCTGCGCTCCCTCCTGCTCTCTCCTCTGGACTTCCTCTCTCTTCCTGGCACGGGGCTCTTCTGCTTCCCTCTGCCCTTAGCACAGTGTGGAACTCTTCTCAAAAAGTAACATCGGCTTTGAACAGCTTACTGCTAATGGGTATGCAAGTAGGCGCCTGGGCAGCAGGCTAAGTATTACCTCTTTATACCTATACAATGGGTGAGTTTAAGATCAGGGGAGAATCTGGCCATGGAATTTCCATTTTCCCTACATACAGATAAAAAGAAAAGGAAGTATAACTAGACAAGGGAACTTGTGTCGGGTCACAGCTGAGTCAACATGTGTTCATCAACTGCCCTTGCCAGGAGCCAGACTCTACTAAGAGCTGAGACACCAGGGCAGGGTTAGCATCATCCTTTGGCCTTTAAGAGCTTCCAGTTTAAGTGTGTGTGGAGACAGGACACACACGGACACAAACAGTTAACAAACAAACAGTGACATCCTCTCTTGTTCCAGGCACAGGGGAAGCCAAGAGATGGGGATTCCCTGGAGGAAGAAGGCCTGAGCTGGGTTTTTAGGGCTGAGGCAGCAACATCAACAGCCCCGTCCCTACACCACTCTGATACTCCTCCCACGTGGGGGAGGTGACTAACACCCTGTGCAACCAGCAGCTCTGTGCTGGCCCTCTCTTCCAGTCTTCATTAGGGTGCAGTTAAGACGGCACTTCTGAAAAGTCTTCCCTGCTCCTGCCTTCCCCTCCCATGAGCAGGAGCACCCTAGGCCCCCGAGAGTACTTCAAATAACACCATGGGGTGGGTCAACCTGTCCCCTCCCCAGACAATGCATGCGCATTCCTTACTTTCATCTCCTGGCTCAACGTACAGTGCTGGGCATGGGAGCAGCACTTCATAATCGAGTGCCAAGTGACAGTCAGAACCCAAATGCTGGACTACCTCTGCCTCTTTTGATGGCTGTATCCCTCAGGCCATTAGCTTCAAGGAGCAGGTACTAGCTTAG